GGATGGGATGGGATGGGATGGGGATGGGATGGGATGGGGATGGGGATAATAGAAATGGAGATGGAGATGATGGAAATGGAGATGATAGAGGTGGAAACAGATATGGAGACAATGGAAGAGGAGGGGGAGTTTGAGATGATGGAGATGATGGAGACTGAGGTGGAGATGATAGAGATGGAGGTGGAAATGGAGTTGGAGATGATGGAGATGGGATGGGGCAGGGATGGGAACGGGGAGGACATAATGAGAGGTCAGAAATGAGGACGGGCAGCGATGGGGATGGAGACAGGAGGAGAATGGAAATGGAGATTGGAATGGAGATGAGAACAGGGATGAGGATGGGGGTGGATGGAGACAGCATTGTATTGGGGACAGGAAGAGGATAAGGATGGAAATGGTGAACGGGATGGAGGCAGAGATGGGGACGGGGGGAGAACGGGGAGAGGATGGGGACAGGGATGGGGATGAGGACAGGAACAGAGATAGAGATGGAGACAGGAATGAAGGTTGAGGATGGGGACAGGAACAGCGACACAGGAAGGGAGGAGATGGAAGTGGCAGCCATAATGGGGGCAGGAATAGGATAAGGACAGGGACGGTGAATGGGATGGAGGCAGAGATGGGGACAGAGGGAGAACGGGGAGAGGATGGGGACAGGGTGGGGATGGGGGGCATCAGGAACGGGGAGGGAGGAGAGGACAAAGACGAGGGTGGGAACAGGGATGGGGAGAGAAGGGGCGGCGGTGGGACACGCACGCATTTGAGCTCCATCTCGCTGAAGATGCGGGGCAGCAGGAGGCGCCGCAGCGGCACGGTGAGGACCAGGACGAAGGGCAGCGCCAGAGAGGCGGGGCTCACCTTCACCCCCCACAGCAGCGCCAGCATGAGGATCTGCGTGAGGGTGAAGATGTGCATCCGCCACGTCTTCACCTGCAGCACAGAGGGGGGTCAGAGGGGGGCCGCATCCCATCCCCAGGCAGCAAGGGGGGCTCGGAGCCCGGCGGGCCGCGGGCTGCCCCGAAACGCGGCCGTCTCACCCGGGTGACGTAGGGCTCCTTGGGGTGGTACTTGGGGGGTATCAGCAGCAGCAGGATGCGGTCGAAGAGCTGGATGCCGAAGAGCGACGTGACGCCCATGTAGAGGAAGATGCCGAAGAGCACGGCCAGCGGGATGAACTTCAGGATGGGCTCCATCAGGATGGAGACGCCTGGGGGGGGGGCGGGGGATCGGAGGACAGCCAGGGGACGGGTCCGACCCCCCCGGCCCCCCGGCCCCATCCCGCCCCGCTCACCGATCAGCACGGCCACCAGCAGCCCGCTGATGCGCTGCTCCTTCACCTCCAGGATCTGGGATTTCTCTCCCGGCGCCGAGCTCTTGCTCATGACGGTGAGAGCGTTGGCGTGCGTGATGGTGCGCACCGTGGTGGCGCTCAGCCAGGGCATCCCAAAGAGTGCGGCCACGCCGCCCATGGCCACGATGAGCAGCAGGTCCAGGTGGAACCCTGAGCCCTTCACCAGCTTCCGCTCCGGTTTGCTGACGATGAGGCTGCGGGGACGGAGCCGCGGTTGAGGACGGGGACGGCGACGTGGGCAGGGAGGGGATGGAGATGGCGGTTGTAATGGGGACAGGGACGGGATGGGATGGGATGGGGGAGGAGATGAGGACAGAGGGGGGATCCCTCCCCACCGCCCCCCCCCCCCCCCCCCCCCCCCCCCCCATCCCCCCCAGTCCTCACGTGGTGATCTGCGTCTCGAGGAAGATGAGGATGAAGACCAGCAGGGCCGGCACCACGGAGGCAAACATCATCCAGATGGGGAAAGGGGCCGTGATGCCCATGGGGTGGATGAACCAACCCCGGGCCGCGCTGTTGGTCACCTCCAGCCCTCTGGGCACCTTCAGTTTCTGCTCAGGAGAAGAGATGGCAGATCAGGCGCTGCACCCCGCAGCCCCCCCCCCTCCCACCGTGTGCACCCTGGGGTCACCCCGTGCCCCCCACCCACCCACAGGGACACCCCCCTACCTGCGTGTAGGTGTCCTTGATGAAGAAGTCAGCCAGGGCCATGATGAAGATGGAGATGGGCACCCCGAAGTCCCCGATCAGGCGCCGGATCTGCGAGGACGCCGCACTGAGCCCCCCTGTGTGCTCCCCCCCCCAGCCACGTGGACCCCCTCACAGACGGGGGGGGGGAGAAGACCCCCCCCCCCCCCCCCCCCAGGCTCACCGTGCCGGGCAGGAACACACTGTTCTTAAATTTGCGGAGGAAGAGGGCGAGGAAAAAGGTGCCAGCCATGAGGACGAGGGACAGCAGCGCCGTGTTGGGTTTGGGCACCGCTGGGTCCGTGGCGTTCTGCACTCTGTACTCCCACTGCAGCGGGTGATCCTTGAAGATCTGGGGGTGGGAGATGAGGTTGGGACGGCCCCACGAACAGCCCCACCTGGGTGACGCCGTCCCAACGCCGCCGACTGCGTGGGGCAGCACTGAGCTGGGGGGCAGGGCAGAACCTGGGGGAGCCCAGAGCGCCGCTCCCAGAGACCCCCAAGGGGAGAAGAGTGAGGTGGGAAAGTGCTGGGGAGGGGGAGAAAGCGCTACGGACCGGGCTGCATCCCTGCTGCGCCCCATAGCCCCACATCCCACTGCACCCCACAGCTCCATCCCCACTGTATCCTATAGCATCATCCCTGCTGCACCCCACTGCTCCATCCCACTGCATCCCATAGTTCCAATCTTCTGCACCCCACATCTCCACCCCTGCTGCACCCCACATCCCTGCTGCACCCCACATCTCCATCCTTGTTGCACCCCACATCTCCATCCATGTTGCACCCCAATCTCCACCCCTGCTGCACCCCACATCTCCATCCCTACCGCATCCCACAGCTCCATCCCACTGCATCCCATAGTTCCAATCTTCTGCACCCCACATCTCCATCACTGCTGCACCCCACATCTCCACCCCTGCTGCACCCCATTGCTCCATCGCACTGCATCCCATAGTTCCAATATTCTCCACCCCACATCTCCATCCTTGTTGCACCCCACATCTCCACCTCTACTGCACCCCACATCTCCACCCCTGCTGCACCCCACCGCTGTCTCTGGCTCTGTGGGTCCCCCCGCAGCCCCTCACCGTGACGAGCTTGGCGAAGGTCTCATAGATGAAGATGAGGGAGATGAGGAAGGAGAAGATCTCCTGTGTGTAGCGGGACAGGTAGCGCACCAGGACGCTGCCCTCGCAGGCCACCACCACCAGCACCAGCAGGATCAGCCAGAAGCCGATCCACACCCGGCCCACGATGTAATCCAGGCCCTGTGCCTCGCAGAACTGCCACCAAAACACACGGCCCCGTCAGCCCCACGGCAGGGCAGGGTGCCCCACACCTCCTGCATGTGGGATGGGGGCACCCCCTGCCATCCCCCCTGTGCCACCCCAAAAGCGCCGCTCAGGATGCGCCGTCCCCAAAGTGTCATCACATAAATGCCATCCCCATAAGTGCCACCCCAAAGGTGCCACCCCCTATGTGGCTTCATAGCTGTGCCACCCCAAAGGTGCCATCCCCAATGTTTCACCCCAAAAGTGCCATCACCCTACATGGCATCAGCCCTGTGCCACCTAAAGGTGCCATTACATATATGCCACCCCATCAGTGCCAGTCCCTAAGTGCCACCACAAAGGTGACACCCCCTATTTAACGACACAGCTGTGCTGCCCCAAAGGTGACACCCCATAAGTGCCACCCCCTATGTGCCATCCTAAAAGTGCCACCCCCCCTACATGGCATCAGCCCTGTGCCACCCCAAAGGTGCCA